TTTTTTTTGTTTTCAGTTTGGAGATTGTTCAAGTCAAGGTTGTTGTTTGTTTGTAGGTATTTTGTATTTTTTAAATTAGTGGCACATAAAATTTTTTTTTCTTTCTGATGAATTTGTTTTATTTTAAATGAATGAATAAATGATAAAAACAAACAAAAAACAAACCATGCAGCGCTGGGGGTGTTTCAGGGACACGTTGGCTCAAACTTTTATTGTGCTTCATCTTGTGACTCATCATCTTCTGTCAAGTGGAACAAGTTCGATGTTCCCACCGCGAGTTAGAACGACTCTCCGTCACATTTTGCAGCACACTGACTGAAACCTGCAGTTTTTCGGATCTTAGAAAGCCGAACCACTTCCAAACCACCAAATTAGTCTTTCCTCTCTTATCAGTGATGTCATCTGCTTCTCTTCGCTTGGGAAAGTTGTTCAGTCACATTCTGACGATCATGGGAACTCATTTTGAAGAGAAAACTTAACGCGCGTTGGAGATTAGCCTAGCTTAGCCTGCTACCAGTAACGCCTTCTGGACTCGAGCTCTGCGTAACATTACGTCACCACGCACTTAACGTAGTTGTGTCGCACCTTTTTCTGTCCGGGTTGAAACTGAAGCGGCCGCTTCAACCTGAACAGAAAACGCTGTAATCCTATCAAAATATTGAAAATATGCTTAAAATTCACATCATCATTATTGAATAAAAGTATATCGTGAGATATATCGATATCGAATTATTGTCCAGCTCTAATATCTTGATATAATTTATTTTCCCAAGCAAGTTTTTTTTTTTTTTACCAGTATTATCGTGAACGATATCTCACCCAGCCATATTTTGAAGTGGGGTTCTTTGGAAAGGTTATGAACTGTTAATATCCTACCTGTGGTAGATGATGCTCTGATGGCCTCAGTTTGGAGAAAAACAGTTTGTTTCACAGGATTGAGGAGCCAACAACTAGTCTCAATTAATTTTGTGGACACATGCCAAGTTAAGATCATTTATGCATTGTACGTTGTCTGATTCTTCTGTTCTGGGTTGTGGGGTGGCTAGTGCCCATGTCTGTGTGAGAGGCAGGGAACACCTGGGACAGGTGGCAAGTCCATCACAGGGACACATGGACCGAAATGAGACAAAGAACCATTCACTGTCTCACTCACACCTGGGGACAATTTACTTACTAGTTTTTGATCTGTGGGAGGAAACTGGAGTACCTGGAGAAAACCCACGCATGCACGCAGAGAACATGCAAACTCCTCCCAGAAAGGCCGGGATTTGAACTGACGACCTGCTTGCTGAGAGGCGGCAGCTCTACTAACTGCACTACCGTGCCGCCCCGGATCAAAGACTTACTTCCCTTAAATGAATTCTTAACTTGCTTGTGACAGATTTTCTCTGGATTCCTTGTTGGAGTTTTGTATTTTCTGTTCAAATCAAAAGTCAAAATAAAGACTGTTCCTTTTTATCGAGACGCTGCACATCTTTTATTCCTCACAGTCCTTCGTGAGATCGTGTCCCATCTTATTTGATAATGAAATAACTATTTGTGGATGATTTAACACGTTACTTCTGTGTGTGTTTCTGCAGACAATGTCTCTGCTGCTTCAAAGAGTACAAACATCTGGAGGTCTTCAATCAGCTGATCTACGCTCTCATCAACCTGGTCATTGCTCAGATCAGCAGTCTGAGGAACAGACTCTGCAGTTCTCACAACCCAACGCAAAAAGGGTCCGGGTCTGAATGGAGCAGAGACGAGTTAGCACCTGGCTCCCTCCCCCAGCCGACCTCACCGGGGGAGGACGAACCTGTAAATGTGGAAAGAGATTCTGCTGAAGAGGACGCAGACACATCCAACGTGAACCAGAATAAGACTCAGAGCCAGGATCAGGGGTCCAACTGCACAGAGGAGTCCCGGGTGGAAGCACTGAGACCTGCGGGTGGCAGCAGCGAGTCCAGGGAGGGTGAGGATGGTGCTGCAGCTAGCTGTGACAACGATGACAGCCAGGATCCCTTCGGCTCTTGGTCCACGGAGGAGAGAGAAAAACTGCTGCTGTGTGCTGCCAAGATTTTTCAGATCCAGTTCCCCCTCTATACGGCCTACAAACACAACACACACCCCACCTTAGAGGTAAGACCATACACAGACTCCTGACCTCTGAACCACATCGTTCCTGCTTGATCCTTCTGCTGCAGATATAAAGCAACAGTAGTTATTGTTCAGTTATTTTCAGAAGTAAAACTTACACGGTTGTTTTTAATGACTTAATTTGTTAGAATCTCCTGATGCTGCTCAATAATCCAGGTAGAAAAATCTAACGAAATTAAGTCTGGTCCTCTGGACGGGTAAAAAAAAAAAAAAAAAACAACAACTTGTTGAAACGTTTCGTCTCTCATCCTGAGGACTTCCTCAGTCTGAGGTGCTGTATTCAGCTCAGTCTCTTAAATAGCACCTTCTCAGGGTGGATCAACCAGTTTGCTGCTGACAGCCAAAACCAGCTGATCACATGCTCAAGAAGGACCATCAGCCTAACAATGGATCATTAGCACACTGATGGCTGTTTACTGTTCACAGAGGGCTGAGTGATACTAGCAATCACAGCATTGTAAGAGGGGGACAGTTGAACCTGGAGGCTCCACCCCTGTTTAATGATGGACGGTTTCTTTTCACAAAGATGGCCTCCTTTACTCCTCTCTCAAACCATCGTTCCTCTCTATCCAGGATGTGAACATCTTCATCCCTGAAAGAGTGACCTCTGGCCTGGAGATGAGTGTAGACCTCAGAGTCCTGGCCTGATGATGTTGATCTTCTGTGCTGGTCCATCCTTTTAACCAGTGGCTGTTTAGTTTCCCCGATGTAAGACTGATCACCCTCCTGACACTGAACAACATACACAACATTACTCTGTTTGTGCCGGGGGACTGGATCTTTGGGATGAACCAGTCTTTAATGTATTTTGAGGTTTAAAAGCCACTGGGACGTTATGTTTAGAAAATAAACGTCTCAGTTTCTCTGATACTCCCTCAACATATGGAATGACCACTGGTCTGGGTCTGGGTTCCTCCTTTTCACCTGATGGCTGGCAAGAAACCCAAACTGGACTCCAGCCAGCCATCAGGTGAACAGGAGGAACCCAGATCCAGACCAGTGGTCATTCCATATGTTGCAGGAGTATCAGAGAAACTGACACTCTCTGAGAAATCTCTTTTGCTGCTATGCCTGTACAAAAGACAAAGAGACCATCTTAGCACCAACATAACTGGTTTGTTCCACGTTGGAGTGTGCTGTTTGGGAGAAGAATCAGTTTTGTGTTGTGTGTTTCCTTGACTGATGAAGCCTTCTGGTGAAACGTTTCAGCAAAAAAAAAGAAAAAAACTGTCCAGATGGCCTGACTGAAAATTGTTGGATTGTATACCTGGATTATTGAGCATGGACTTTGTTGGTTTGCCTATGTAGTGAACTAGGCCTCAGGTCAAAATCTGGCCTTGAGGGCCTGCCTGGAACAAGAACTGTATTTCATTGATTTGAGTCCAGAAACACAAAATCAAGTCCATCCAGAAGACTTTTTAAGTGTCCTGCACTGATCAATTGAAAGAACACTCTCTTTTCTATTATCATTACTATTTTACAAATGTTTTGATAATCAAATTGTGTTTAGTTCAAACCATTTCCAAATGTTGAAGTGAACTACTCATTTTAAATCAACTGTGAAACAGTAATAATGATTGTTAATCCTCATTCAAAGTAGAAATCAGGTTAATGATGCATTGTCTGATTTTCTGTCTTCAATGAGCAAGTGTGTAAGTTGGTCAAAGTTCAAGTTTCGGTCAACTGCAAGTTTACTGAAAAAGAAATGTCATGTTTAACTTTTACAGCAAGATACTAGAGAATTGACTCCACGAAGTCTGAGTTCTTCATAATATCTTTTGTCTGTTCTTAAACAATCTTAATCTTTTTCCTTGACTCTTAATAACCTCTTACATCACAAAACACACCTCTGTTTTGGTCCATCGACCAATCAGAAAGTTCTCAAATGAACCGGAAGTGAGCTCTTTTAAAAGGTGCAACACTTCCTAGTTCAAAGAGGTTCCAGCTCCAGTCGAGTTCAGAGGAGGAGCTCAGTAGTTCTGAGAAGAACGCTGAGAAGAACGCTGAGAGAATGCTGTGAGTTGGTTCCGAGGGCAGCAGAGTTCAGAATGCTGGAATGCAGAATGCTCAGGACATCTGCGACTAAGCTGAACAAGAGAAGTCCAGAGGAATTATATGAAGTCTGTTCTGGATGATCTCACGACTCCGAATGGTTCCCTACTATCCTTACGGAGACGCTGAAAAGTGGCTTGAAGTGGAACTTTACGCCGGAACTGACATATCTTCAGAAAGGTAAAAAGTCGATCTTCAACCAAAGTGTACCGTTGGGTTAAGCTGGTCCAAAGGAGCGTGTTGTTCTGGTTATAACAGACAAATTCCCTCACCCATCTCTCTCAACTTAAACCTCAATTTCCATCTTTAAACTCTTCTATCTGCTAGCAAATTAATCCAGATATTTTTAGAAATGTCTGTTGTACCGCTGGAAGCAAGGGAAACAATCGCCGTATTGTTTCCTCCTTGTAAAACTTGCTAAATAAGTGTTGTTGTTGAAATCATTTTGCCAAATTAATGTAAATGTGTGATGTGTTTAAATCGTTTTTAAATAAATGACCCACTGTCGTTGGTGAGTCAAAGATAAACACGTTTCCGTCCACATTTAATTAAATTCAATGCACGTTATTATTCAGTCCAGAAAAATGAAAGAATCCGTTTAATTTATGAATATATCATAGAATATGTTCATCTACACCTGTACAGTTTTGTGCAGCACATAATTCCTTTTTCTTAGTTTTTTCTTCTGAGATGTTTACCAGCTTGACAAAATGATTAAATATTCACCATTGAGTGTTGGTCTACTTAATGGTATTAATTTCCTTAAACACGGGCAGTTTTTACTTGAAATGCTGCATAATATCTCATTTAAATTTGGACAAACGCTGCTTGATTGGCAGCACAGTTTGAGGCACTCATCTCCTTTTGAGAGTTTTGAGAATTATACAAATGTGCTAAATTTTAATGTGCACTTGCAAAACTCAAGCGACAGTCTCATTTATTTCTTACAAGATATTACAAAATATTTTGTTGAAATGATGTAATGAACATTTTTTAAGCTCCATCTTCAAAATGGAACTTGCGGTTCCGGCGAGCTGATGGACGGCAGCTCCCTCCGGCTTCTCTGCAGTCTTTTATCATCAAACAGACCGGTTTTTCAAACTGGACTTAAGTTGGTCCCCCTTCCAACCGAATTCGGTGTTCAGTGACTCAAAGAGCTGGACGGGATCGTCCAAAAAATATATTTTGGTCCAGGACTGGCCGCTCCCACTCCACCGGTCACTCTGAGCGCACACTGCCGGCCAGGTGATCCTTTGAGCTGGGGAGTTGTCGCACAAAGGTCCGGTGTTTTCTCTCTCTCTCTCTGGACCTCAACAAACTTCTCATCCGGACCTTTGTGGTTCTACCTGGTTCCGACAAGAATCGCCAGGTGGTATTTCGCTGGTTTTCTGCTGGACTGGCCCTCGAGGTGTCTTTATTGGTGTGGGGGAAGTGTACCTGTGTCCCCTGAACTGGACCAGAACTAAACCGAGTTGGCTGTGGGGGACTTTGTCTTCAACAGAGCCGGTCTCAGCCTCAGTGAGCAGCCTGCTACTTTTAACGAAGGATGGTCCACCTCCGTGGAATCGCTGTGTTCGCCTGGAGAAGAAACTCTGATGCTTTGAAGCGCCGCCGGAACCGGACCGGAGCAGAACCGGGCCAGGGACAACTTCAGCCTCTTCGCCTCTCGTGCTATGGAGCACCGGAACCGGACTGGAGCAGTGATGACTTCAGCCTCAGCCTGATCAGTTCTTCTGGAGCAGATGTAATCTTCATCTCTGAAACCTGGCTCAACAAATCTGTACTGAATAATGACCTGGCAATCAATGGATTTAACATCTACTGCTTAGATCATCAAAAAAAGGGGGGTGGAGTCACTATTTACTTCAGAGATTCTCTGGTTTCTAGTCTTGTGTATCTAGTCCAGACACTTGAAAACAGCCTTTGTTCTTCCTTTGCTGAAGGGAGGTGACCCCACCTCACTGAACAACTATGGACCAATCTCTAAACTCTGCATTTTAGCCAAGGTTCTAGAAAAACTGATAAACTCTCAAATCAAAAATGACCTGGACTCATTTAACATCTTACCTCCACATCAATCTGGTTTCAGGAAACAACACAGCACAACCACTGCTTCACTGAAGGTTCTTAATGATGTTGTTGAAGCACTGGGTGCTAAGGATTATTGTGCTGCACTTTTCTTAGACCTGTCTAAAGATTCTGACACTGTGGATCAGAACATCTTGTGTCATAAACTCTCAGAAATCGGTTTCTCAGAACACACCATTGGTTGGTTCTCTAACTATCTTTCAGACCGGAGGCAATGTGTTCAACATAATGGTACTTCCTCCAGTTATTTAACAGTCAACAATGGTGTACCACAAGGCTCAGTCTTAGGACCCACCCTCTTTACAATCTACATACATAATGTAGGTAAAAACATCCCTAATGCATTCATACATTTCTATGCTGACGACACAGTTGTTTATTGTCGAGCTAAAACTGTTGCTAAGGCTTTCCAGCTTTTGAGTTCTGCATTCAACATCGTCCAGTCAGATTTGTTTCACCTCAAACTTGTCCTAAATCTTGACAAAACCAAAGGGATGCTTTTTTCAAATAGGAAGTTGGTCCCAGCAGTTCTTCCTCTGATTTTATCCTCAAATGGTGTCCCCATTGAGTTTGTTGATTCCTATAAATATCTGTGTATCTTGGTCGACTCACATCTCTCTTTTAAGCTCCATGTGGAAAACTTGATAAAGAAACTGAAAGTTAAACTGGGTTTCTTTTTCAGAAACAGATCCTGTCTAACCCTGAATGTTAGGAAACACTTTGTATCTGTGACTTTCCTTCCCTCAATTGATTACGGTGACATTATTTACATGAATGCTCCTACAAGAACCCTGCAGATGTTGGATGCTGCAGATGTTGGATGCTGCAGATGTTGGATGCTGCAGATGTTGGATGCTGTCTATCATGGTGCACTAAGATTCATAACTGGCTGTGATTATCGTACCCACCACTGCTCCCAGTATTCACTGGTTAACTGGTCACCATTAACTTCACACAGCCTCTCTCACTGGTACATCTTCATCTTTAAATCACTTCCTGGTCTGCTGCCTTCATACATCTCCTCCTACATGTCTCTGCGTGAGTGCAGTTACAGCGTGCGCTCTCAGGACATTATTACCTGCAGTGTTCCCTCAGTGAGGACTGAACTAGACAAAAGGACCTTCTCCTACTCCGCTCCTGTTTCCTGGAATATCTTATAAAAAGATCTGAAGCTCTCGACCTTTGACCTCTCTAAGTGTCTTTAAGAATCTGTTGGACTCCTGGCAGGGTCCAATGCAGACATGTTCCTGTTGTTAGTTTTCTACATTCTCCTTAGAATCCAGCTGTTTTTGTTACTTTCCTTTTTTTTAGCCATCCTATTTGTAAAAAAAAAAATAAAAAAGGATGACTTTTTATAATTGTTTATTGTTGTCGCTGTTGTCCATTGTTGTCATCTTTCTTTGTTAAATCAGGTCTCTCTTGTAAATGAGTCCTCGAGGCTCAATGGGATTAACCTGTAGAAATAAAGGTTGAATGAATGTTTTTACTAGTAATACAAATTTAGTATTTTTATATTAAAGTCTTTATGATCAAATGGTTTGACATGTTTCTCCGAGCTGAAGGAGGTAAAAATAGTTTTTTAGTTTTGTTCCTTTAAACAGTGTTTGCTGAGCGAGCTGTTCTCTGCAGCAGCCAGATGGATTCACTGAACAACATTTAGACAAACTGTGACTTTTAATACAAGTTTAATTGACCGACATGTCGTCGTTAAGTCTGCTTTTGTTCTGTTGTCTCTTGTTTCCAGGACATATCTTCACACGAAAGCAACATCCTCGGCTCCTTCTGTGACATGAATGTAAGAATTATTCTCTTGTTACTCTCATGTAGGTCTTTTCAGGGCACTAATTCTGCATTTTTCCAAATTATTTTATGAAGTGAAACCACCAGGAGTAAATGATTAATGAATCTGGTTGAAAATTAAGTTTTGATTTAGTTTTTCTGGCTCGTTATATTTTATTTCTTTGTGAAATGGGTATTATTGGGTTGTGTGAACAGCTCTGCTCCCTGGCCTGACAGCTGCAGCGTTTGCACAGTAGAACACAGGGGGGGGGGCGCTTGGTGCTGGCCCACATCATGTTCAGATTTGCTGAAATAAACAAAAGCATAAAAGACCTATATGTGGCCTCGGAAGTGGTACTGTTAAAGGTCAAAGTGAGGGGGAAGTGAACGAAACTGTAATTTCTGGACTGAGTGCACCTGAATATAAGCTGTGCCACAAATACTTACAGTAAAAGTATTTTTCTGACCAGCGCCTGTAGCACGGCTGGTTAAAAAAATACAGTAGTCTACCAGGAAGTCATTGAACATCATCTTCCTCCATGCACAAACGTGTGCTGTCCTCCTGCTTCACTGTCATCATCCACTGGCACACTTGAGCAAAAGTTGCTCTGAATACAGGGGATCCGCCCTCACGGGGGGGAGGTAATCCCCCTCCCCCTTCTCTCCTCTCCCCGTTTCATCGGTCCACTGTGACCTGTTTGTTAATTTCATTGACCAGAGTTTTTGTTTCACCTGTATTTATACAGGTTGTCTGAGTCACGAGGACCCACACCCCAGGAGAGCCGTGCATTGGGCAGCTGAGAGCACCTGGGTGGGACAAGGCGAAATGTTTTGGCAGCATGAAACTCGTTAGGCCGTCCAAAAAACAAAACAAGAAAACATAGATCAGCCACATCGTTTTATAAGCCGCGCTGTTCAAAGTGCGTGAAAAGCGTCGTGGCTTATAGTCTGGAACTTACGGTAATAAGAGAATTTACAACTAACTGGGAAGAAGACCACTTCAGTAACAATCTAAGGTTTTCCTTGATCAGCTCTAATATTCTGAAGTCTTTCTGAAACATCACTGACAGCAGCGTTCTTCTCCTGAAATGAAAGCAGTCTGTGTATTTTCTAATAAACCTAAAACTTGTAGTATATGATACAGTTGTAGCTGATAAACAGCGTTCAGTGAACTATTGTGGATCATTTGGGAACTGGTATCTTTGTGGTCAATCAACTTTTCTCTGTTTATTGGTTACAACACTAAATTTGATTTGTCTGTTAAACCCATAGAACTGATGGATCGTGGTTTTGCCTCGTGTCCCTGCTGGGTGTTAGCAGATCCTGTTCATCCAGTCTTTGTGGAACCAGCCGACTCTGAAGCTGGTCCCATTCCTGTTTCAACGTTCTGTTCTCGGTCCTAGCTCTACTTGAGTTTAGTCTTTCATTAAACACTTTTCCATTTGCATGTACAGTTAATCATCTTCTACCTAAAACTCACACTTGGTTAAAGTTAATGGTTCAACTCCCGGTACCGTCAACATCAAAATGAGGTGGAAAAGGTGAAGCACCCACACCTGCCTCCACCCTCATTGGCCCCACTCTGAGCCCCTGAGCAAGGCCCCTAACCCCCACCATCTGCTCCCTAACACAGGTCTCTCTTGAAAAGGAGTTCTCGTGGCTCAATGACACTACCTGGATAATTAAAGGTAAATGAAAAGTTAAGTTAACAATGAGCTGAGTTCTTGAACGTTCTGTAGCTCTGTTTGATCAGTGTTGGCTTTGATGGAGAGGACATTTGTGATCTGACCTGAGGAACCTGACATCCAAACAACTGGCTGTCCAAAAATAAAAAACCTCCAGCAGAACCAGCTCAGGATGAGCAGCCATCTGCTTTGACCGGCTGGTTGAGAGGACAGGAAGGAGAGACAGACCAACACAGAATGGTAGGTCCAGATATAGGTCCAGGTCCAGGTATAGGTCCAGGTATAGGTCCAGGTATAGGTATAGGTCCAGGTCCAGGTATAGGTCCAGGTCCAGGTCCAGGTATAGGTCCAGGTATAGGTCCAGGTCCAGGTATAGGTCCAGGTCCACATATAGGTCCAGGTATAGGTCCAGGTCCAGATATAGGTCCAGGTATAG